CTCCCATACAAGCCACATTTGTGGAGAATTTGTGATATTGTTGTCACATGCACACAATGACCACTCTTTGTCATAAATTCCTGCAGCTGCTTCAGAGTTGCTCAGAGTTGGCCTCTTGGTAGTCTCTCTGACCAGTTTCCTCCTGGCTCTATCATCCAGTTTGGAGCGACGTCCTGATCCAGGGATCCTGATCCAGTGTTGTACCAAATACCTTCCACTTCTTAATAATAGACTGCACTGTGTTTCTAGCCATTGATAAAGCCTTTGAATTTTTTTTTTTGTATCCATCTCCTGACTTGTGCCTGTCCACAACTTTATCCCGGAGATCTTTTGACAGTGCCTTACCACCCATAGTTGATTGTTTGCTTCAGTTGCACTACCAAGGACTGAAATGCTCCAGGAAAGCCCTTTTCATGCTGAGCTAATCAAAATGACCACAGCTGATCACAGTTGAAAGTCAGATGATGGCTTTGTGTACCATTGAAAAGGTGATTAGCTACACCTGATTGAGTTTACAATTCATTTTTAGGAGGGAGTGATCCTTTATCCAACTCAGTGATTCTGTTTTTTGTTTTTTTTAATGTTTTTATGACATGTTGGTGTTATATCTTTCACTTGGATGTTATACAGCTGGATAAAACAAAAACTGTGTCCGTCTTCATTTCAGGCTGCAAAGCAACAAAATCTGATTATTTTAAAGGGGGGTGATTATTTTCTATACCCACTGTACAAGAACACATATCTGTGGATCTATTCCTGGTGCATTAATATGAAGTCACCTAATAAGTGTGTTTGCAAACAGAGCTCTCAGTGTTTATTCACCCCTGTATATGTACCATCCATGCTGCGCATTCTCATCTTACCATCACGCTCCCTCTCGCTCTCAGGCCGAGCGCGTGGTCCTGTGTCTGACCAGTCGCCTCTCAGACGCAAGCGCTTGACCGGGGGCTGCCTCAGCTGTGGGAAGACACATCAACAAGCTGTCAGTCACAGTCAAAACCTCTCACACGCCCTAAAATAACTTTAGAATCATATAGTCTGGCACGTTTGCAGGAAGTATGACCAACAAACATTTAAAAGAGGACAGATATCATAATGGTAAAGTGAAACAGAATTGCCATCATGGATTGAAACCAGAGGTCTATAACAGGGCATTCACCAATTACATTGTTCGATAAAAAGTAATAAAAAATAATTAAAATAAGCATTAGACAAAAATGCAATATTAAGTTCACTTCAACCAGAGCAACCAGAGCACATCAACCAGAGCACAAAGTAAGAAGTTAAAGTTCAACTAAATGTATCTTTGTGCCACCAAAGTTAAAATATAGTACAATTAAAATGTAATGAAGAATATGACTCTGTACATAAATAATGATTATTTTAATGGCTTTAGCATAAAGTATGTAATGTAATGTATGTATTTTTAAAGACAATGGGGTCCAATGCTAACTTTAAAAATACATCCAGGAAAAAAAAACAGACATTTTCAAAGGGGTGAGAACCAGAAAGGTGTAAGTGACATTTCACCAACTTTACAGGAGAGCCAAAACAAAACTTTTACCATAGTTTAATCTGACTTTGTGTACTGATTTAAATTATTTATAATAAAAATTTGTACACTCATGGATGACAGTACTTTTGCCAGTAGAAAGAGCTAATTAAGAGCTTTCATTTGATATATATATCTCCATTTCACCAAAAATGTCACACGCCCTTCTGGTTCTCACCCCTTGATATGTTCTTTTGTGTTCCACAGAAGAAAGACAGTAAATTTTGGGGTGAACTATCCCTTTAAAAAGCAACACTCAACCAACAAGGGGTCATTAGTCTGAAAAAATTAAAGACCTTAGGATGTTGATGGGATAAACTATTGAGGCCACCTTGCCACGTGCCTCAATCTCACACTTTTACCATCTCAGTCAGTCGGGACTCTCTATTTTGGGTGCTAGGGTGCATTAACAAGACAAGTACCGGCTCTAACACAGCCACATTAGACCAAACAAAGCACGTCAGAGACCAATGCGTTCATCCTAAAAATAATCTAATAATGAGCACTGCAGCTTCTCTCCACTTCACATGGAGGGATAAAATGAGCTATTCTTTTTTTTTTACTTAGTTAAGAGGCTGAAGAGGACACATGCCTGTTAAGGTGCTTGTGGTTTAATGCAAGTGACGTTTCTTTTAAGTAAAACCTGCAGTACTCAGATTGGCTCTTTTAAAATATATTTTTTATATTTAAAATGTAAATTTGAATTCTTGATTGCTTTAACCTTTTTAACCAGTACTAGATTAGGTCACTATACTTCCCTAGCAAGGCCTTTGGAACATTTTTTTGTAATGGATGGGCCTCATTCTAATGAATAGGCTATACTATAGAGGTCCTATGAGGGCCCCTCTCTAATATCTCTGCTGCCTACAATGAGTTTGAATACCATACATAGAAGTAAACCGTACTAAGCCCTCAACAATTTCACACTGCTCTAGCTCCACATTCACTGATTGCAAAACAGTTTAGTAAAACCTTAGTGTTGTAGCAAAGATTTATTGAAGTCAACAGGAGCACCTTCATTCTCACTGGCAGTCACAGTGCACTGGGTGCCTATTTCTGTCTCAGCTGTGGAGCTCTGCGTGTGTTTGCACCTCTATTTGGAAAGGAATCTGATCGCGGGGGATCCGGACACAGCTGATCACACCGTACAACAGCTGAAGGGACCAAAGCGGTGACCCAGCAAATTTCACCACTATAGTGGTGGAAGAGTGAAGAGTATGTAGACTGGCAGTTTAGATTAAGGAGACTTATGTTTGAGTATATATGCATAACAAAATATAACAATATATATGTACATAATATACTAACTTTCAAAAGCTTGGGGTCAGTAATGGAGTCATTAACACTTTTATTGAGAAAGGATACAATAACTTGATAAAAAGTTAGAGTAAAGACTTTTACATGAAAAAAAATCAAACAAATGCTGTTGACCTTTCTATTCATCAAATGTACCATGGTTTCCACAAAAATATTAAGCAGCAAAAACTGTTTTCAAGATTTATGATAATAAGAAATATTTCTTGACCACCAAATCAGCATATTAGAATGATTTCTGAAGGATCATGTGACACTGAAGACTGGAGTAATGCTGCTGAAAATTCATCTGTCATTATACATCTGTCATTTTAAAATATATTAAAATATAAAACAGTTATTTTCAAGTGTAAAAATGTATCACAATATTACTGTTCTTAATGTATCTTAAGAACAAATAAATGGAGCTTTGGTGAGCATAACAGAAAGAAACTTCTTTTTAAAATAAAACCAGAGGCACATCTGAATGGACGTTATGCTTCTGGCTGATTGGCTGCGAATGTTTTTAGTGGTATCAAGGATTCTACACATTGTGACAGATAATTGTTGCTGGAAACGTGTTACATCATGCCTGGTTAGTACACGATGTAACAATCACAACGCCTGTCTAACTTCCTTTGCTTTTTCTTTCCCTTAACGGTGCACTCAGTCATATATTTCCTCATTCAATTGTTTTACGCATAAAATAAATGAATTGTACTTTGAAAAATATATTTTAAATAATGTAATCATGCTGTGTAACTGTACAGTTTCACTCACAGAATAGATGTATTAAAACATCAATATGGTATTAAGATATAAAATTCCCTATTGCGTATTTTTATTCCCCAGCCAGAATCAGTCTTAACAAGGAAATATCACTCAGCAGTGCAGCAAGCAGTGATCCACATCCTAAACCATAGCAGCAACGTCGTTTGATCCGTCCTGTCCGACACTTCTCTACAAAACTCATTTCAAACTGCACCACTGAAGCGCAGAACTGCTGAGGATTACACAGAGTGCATGAGACTAGAGTGCAGAGAACTTCAAAAGTCCTTTATTTAGTTTTCGCCTTAGGCAAGAACAGACTGCACACACTTGCCCCCAGACCAGTCGCTCTTGACTTTCAGATGTCTGGCTCCATTTCCATTAGGGCTGCACACATTATGGAATTCAAATCAAAAGTACGATATGGTCTTGTGCGATTATAAAACCACAAAAGGTTGCAATTTGATTACATGATACATAGTTTGAATGCTTCAGAGTGAATAAGCAGCACTCTGGTGTCTGTAGTCAAGTACATGTACTCAGAGCATGCATAGGTCTCATGCTTTCACATACTAGTACAGTTCACTTTAAAATCCTGCTTGTTTTCCATGAAGATTCACAATTTAAAATTTCTGAGAATTCACTCACCCTCAGCCCCCAGGCCATCCAAGATGTTTGTTTCTTCATTGGCTCAACAGATTTGGAGAAATTTAGCATTACATCATTTGCTCACCAATGAATCCACCAGTGAATGGGTGCCGTCAGAATGAGAGTTCAAACAGCTGATAAAACATCACAATAATCTACAAGTAATCCACACGACTCCAGTCCATCAATTAATGTCTTGTGAAGTGAAAAGCTGTGTTTGTAAGAAACAAATCCATCATTTAGATGTTTTTTAAATTTCAAACGAGTCCTCTATCCATAATATTGCATTCTCCAGTGAAAAAGTTGTCTCGTCTGAATCGGGAGAGTAAAAAGGCACAGATGTTTACAAGTAAAAAAAAAAAAAAGTCCTAAACAAATATGTTGGTGGATTTTGATGTGAGAGGACAACAGGGGATGAACTTTTTCACTGGAGGAAGCATTATTATGGATTATGGACTGGCATTTTATTATAGGATTATGGACTGGCAACGGTTTAAACACCTTAAAGATGGATTTGTTTATTACAAACACAGGTTTTTGCCTCACAAGACGTTAACTGATGGACTGGATTTGTGTGGATTACATGTGGATTATTATGATGTTTTTATCAGTCTGTTTAGACTCTCAATCTGACGGCACCCATTCACTGCAGAGAATCCACTGGAGAGCAAGAGATATAATGTTAAATTTCTCCAAATCTTTTGATCCAGTGAAGAAACAAACTCATCTACATCTTGAAAGGCGAGTCAATTTTTGACAAATTTTCATTTTTGGGTGAACTGTTCCTTTAATTCAATATGAAAACGTTTGATTTGCAAAATTAAAAGGTTAGTTTAAATCAATGCATTTATATCAAACCTCAAGTTACCCATGATATGGTTACATTTTGAAATGCTGGGTATTTTTAATGTAGCACGCACTGATATCACAAGAACTATGGTAAGAGCTGTTGGAGTCTTGTCAAGCGCCGTGTTGCAGATTCTTGGGTTTCTCCTTTTTGTTCTGCTCTCACAATGTGAAAATGACAAGAGACAATGTATTCTTGTGATCTGGTCATCCGATTTAATTAACAATTTCCCATGAACTATTCCACTGGTCTACACTTGAAGTCTCTCATTTCAATACACACATCTTTCCATCTGTCTATATTTTCAAAGAGTGCTTTAAATCCCTTTTTCTTCACTTTTAATCTCTATTACCTTCTATACTAAGGGAATGTTTCTGAAGTAAGGAAACAATACTTTATTTTACTTTTTATCTGTTTTTATCTAGACCTAAATGATGTAAAGCATTTCGAATTATTCAGAGATGTTTTTAAAACATCAGAAAATTACATGACAGAAAATGTTCAGTCAATGCAGCCTCTGCTCTCATCATTTGCTCACCAAGCTCTAGTGTAAAAATGGCCAAAGAACATCCTCCTGATATCTGCTTACCTCCTCTCGCCGCTCTGCAGAAGGGCCCTTGAGCTCCCTGGCCTGGTCATCTTTGGGGTCAAACAGGTAGATGTAGTCAGAGGAGTAACTGACCAGCACTTCTTGTCCATCTTCACTGTAACACAGAGAGGTGACGCGGCAGGATTTGGTGGACAGGTGCGCTGGGACGAAACGTACACACATGCCGATCGTCCCTCTGCCCATGTAGTTACCTAGTGAAACAGAGAAACCTTTTCAAGATCATTTGAAGAAAGCATTTAAAACGTTGGGCTTTTTCTAGTTTAAAGGAGGAACAAATGTTTTGTAGATTCAGAGGATGTGAAGTATTTTTTAGGGGAACTTGAATATGTGGGCTATTCTTCTCAAATGAGTTCTGAAAGTTTAAGACCTCTCATTGCAGTAATCAAACCAGAAAGGACACAGATCCATAAATGATTCCAAATGCTAAATATAAAAGATCATTAAATCACATGGAGAATAAAAGAATAAAAGGCTGAAATGCTAAACATGAACTATTTCTCACCCGTAGCTCTTGTTCCCAGCATTCTTCTGTCATAGATCCTCACTGAGCTATCTGAGCAGCCCACAGCGAGATAGTAGGGGACCAGGGGGCAAATGGATATTGAGGTAGCGGCTCTCCGGCAATTAATCAAAATGTCCTGATAAGGGGGAGCATAGAAAGAGAGAAAGTGGGCAATGACAGAGAGGGAGAGAGGAATAAATATGTGGATAGTAACTGAAAACTAGAGGTTATCAGGAAATCTTTCAATAAACATTAGTAAATCAAACACAAAGGTCAAATAGAAAGAACAGTTCTGTTTTTTTAAGATATATGATAGATTGAGAGTATTATTTAGAATATAATCAAAGTTCAAAAGGGTAAGAACCCTTTTAAATGTTTTTGAAAGAAGTCTTGTGCTTACCATGGCTGCATTTGTTTGATTTAAAATACAGTAAAAACAATTCAAATATACTAATTTAAAATAACTGTTTTCTATTTTAATACATTTTAAAATGTAATTTATTCCCATGATGGCAAAGCTGAATTTTCAGCAGCCATTAGTCTAGTCTTCTGATTTACATTATTCTTCAGAAAACATTGTAATATGATTTCTGGTGCTCTTTTTTGGTGCTCAAGAAACATATATTATTATCACTGTTGAAAACAGTTGTGCTGCTTAATATTTTTGTGGAAACTGTGAAACATTTTTTCAGGGTGTACAAAAAACAGGGTCAAGAGAACAGCATTTATTTCAAATATACATCTTTTGTAAAATTATAAATAGTCTTTACTGGAACTTTTGATCAATTTAATGCATCCTTACTAAATGAAATTAGCAACTATAATTTTTTTTTAAAAAGTATAAATGTTACTGCATTTACCATGTATACCATTATAAGTATAAATTATATGTTACATAATGTATAAGTTATAAGTATAAATATTTTTTCTAGGTTCTCAAGGACCACTTGCAGCATCTTCACAAATAAAGGTTAAAAACCTTGTCATTCAATCAGCAAAATATCAAACCAAATTGCATTTATTTTATTATTTATTTATTATTTTATATTTTAATATTTTATTTAATAGTTCCTCCCACAAAAAAAAAAATCAAATTGGTTCAAAATCCTGCTTCACATGTATTGTATACAGTAGTTTGAAGCCCTGCTACTAACAGAACCCAAGCAGAGATTCAAACAGCACTTACAAGTAGTGTGCTTGTTGTCTTTGTCTCACAAAAAATGCCTTCTGATAGCAACAGAAAGCAATCGTGCCCTAATGCTAATAGCGTCCTCACCGAACACACTCTGTGGGTTGAGAAATCAAGGTTGGAGGCTGCTTCCTCATAAAAACGTATCTGAGGTGCAGGTTCTGCATCAGTGTTATTCACCAGCTGTAATGGTGAGACTTAAAGGGGTCATATGATGCGATTTCAAGTTTTCCTTTACAACAGAACAGCAATGCATTTTATGGACGACCGTTTCGTGAACCTAGGAGAGGAGGTAATTCTGACTTTGCTATGACAATCTGGCGCTTCTGAATCAGCTACTGTTTTGTTATTAGTTTAAGTATTTGCTATTGACTGTTCAAATGCGGAGTTTTGCGCATCGTGTGTGTGTGTGAGAGAGAGAGAGAGAGAGACAGGGTCACATCAAAGTGGCATCAGCTGTCTTAACCGTGGCTTGTGTACTGCAAACACATACCAGCTTCATCACTGTGTCTGTCACGCGACTCTGTTCCCCTTTCGGGCTCTGTCTTTACATTTATTTTGAAAGCTGACGCTCGCGATTATGGTAAGGGGCGTTACATTTCCGACGAGTGCTTGCGGTGTTCGGCCAATCACAATGCACTGGGTCAGCTGGCCAATCAGAGCAGACTGCGCTTGTCGGAAGGAGGTACTTTGTAGAAAACGAAGCGTTTGAGAGAGGCGGGGCATAGAGTACCTACAATAACGTACAGTATTTGAAAAATAATGTGTTTTTTGAACATTAAAGCATGTCAACATATTCTGTTACACCAAATACACAAAATAATGATCTTTAAAAAAGCATCATATGACCCCTTTAACGGTGTGGGAGGGGAGCCTGATCTCAGATCAGTACAGCTCCTTCCCAGAGCTCTACCAGGAAGAAACATGCTGAGCTTTTGGATATACAGTATTTGATGATGTATGCATCTACTTCACAGTCAAATTTTTCTTACATCTTTACAGTCCTCTTTTGTGCAGCTCGTCTTCATCCGCATGTCAAACCACCTCACTGTACCATCTTCTCCACAGGACAAAAAGGTATATGGGTCATTTGGCACTGTCATTATCTGTAGATAGAAACAGAAAGAGAGAAATATGTGAGACGTCAACCTCCACCTCGCCACACGTCAACCGCAAACAAAGACATGGCTGACACAGAGAAACATTCCCAATCCCTCTTGTCTTTTATTTCCTTCTCACTGTGCTCTTTAAATAACATTGTACCTCATAAGCAGTGCCATAGTGGCAGGTGAACTGGCACTGCCTGTTGATTTCTTGGCTCTTCTCTGTGTGGGTGTAGAAAATGATGCCATCTCCTGAGCAGGACACAATCTGTTGATCGTTAGTGTGGGGCATGAACTTTGCACTGAAGATGTTGGCCCGGTGTCCTGAACGAATAGTTGTCTTTACCTAAAGGCAAAAGTACAGTATGGCAATTTTAACATAACTGAACAAAACATCAACAAATAGGCCACTGATTTGCACAGGGTTAGTTTAAAGGCACAACATGTAAGATTTTTTTATTCAAATATCCAAAAACCACTAGAACAGTGTTATATATTTTGCTGACTTGTGTACTTACATTATCCCAAATGTTTCGAAGAATGTTTAAATCCAGAGAAATAAGCAATTTTAACTAGTGGCACGGACCGTGTCCATAGTGTCATTGTGTCACCTGCCAATGACGTCATACGCCCTCGATTTCCGGTTTTGTTTTGTAGAAAACATGGAAACACCAAAGACACTTTAATATGTTGTGCGTTTTATTAGACCGGAGACGACCGCACAGAGTAGCATTATAACAGAACTTTCAAATGTATCTAGTATGATAAAACAGCGCTGCTTTTTTTCCCCACATACGCACGACCGGAAGGAGCGGAAGCGGTCGACTGTGGCATAATAAAAGCTCCGCTGCTTTCGAGCCGTGTGTCACACTCGTTCAGCGGCCTCGTTTCACTTCGACGGCTTTCAGCCTCATCCTGCTTCATTCTACTACGTTAACAAATCATTAGCTCATCCATGAACATGATTTCTGCCCGAGTCCCATTGGATTGCATCGGCTGTGGGGATGAAGACCCCCCAAACTCCCATGATTCCACACTCGGTCACAGCTCATCAAACTACGCCTTTGTCTATTTGTTTTTGTTTTTGAATACGCGCCCTCTAGCGGCGTAAATTACATATTGTGCCTTTAATCAAGCTTTAACATTTTAAAAAGATCAGAATTCAATGCATCCACCTTTTTAGATTCTTTTCTAGAAAATTCTGGCAGATATTGATCGATAGAGATGAGAGTTATTTTCATGTTATGACCTATAACTAATAAATGGCTGTTATTAAAAATATTCAATATTCTATAGAACTTAATCTAAATGGTATTTTATCTAAATAAATGACAAATAAAATGCTATAAAATTAAAATCAATAATTTAACAGCTTATACATGTATAAATGTATACTTATACATTTAACAGTGTTATTAAATTATCACTTAGTTCTTATAGTTTAACTTTTAATGAGTATTAGACGACAGCAAAGGTAATCTATACAAGTATGTAAATTAGAGCGAATCACATCCAATATTGACCAATACGGATCATTAAAAATTCTAATATAGAACGATAACCAATATGGTACTGACTATTTGTAGCATTTGTGTCTTTAACTTACCTTTCTGTTGTAAGCATTTGTGATAACCAAGTTAGTGTCATCGGAACCTGATAAGATGTATTCTCCTGTGTCATTCCAGGATATGGTGTTAACCTTTAAAGAAACATGAAAACCAGCTAATATAAACACCAATTTCTTAAATTGAAAAGCTTGTTTCTTCTGTTCCATAAACTGTGCCATAATTTAACATATCTCCATCCATTTCTTTAAAGAAATAGTGCACCAGAAATGAACAGTCTGTCATCATTGATGCAAAAACCCATATAAGTTCTTCTTTGGAACACAAAAGGAGATATTTTGAAGAATTTGTGTTCCACAGAAGAAAGTCATTTCTATTTGTTGACATCATTAACTGAGCATCACTGATAACATTATTATTTTAACCATCACCTAAAATCCTGCTTTAAGACTTTAGAGCTGAAATGGACTGAGGTAGTGTGTGCTGCCTGTGCCTTTAAGAGCAAGCGATCAATATTTCATGCTTTTCCTCCTCTTTCTAGAGCAGCTCAAACCTCATCACACAGGGTCCATTTCCTTTGACCTCTTCCTTTCTAAAATAACATCACTGGGAGGGATTAAGCATTTATCCCTTATTCTGCTCTTCCGCTTTTCACTCTACGGCTCTGCTTTGTGTAGTGGCGAGATGGAATTAGATTGTGTTAAGATGCACTGCATGTTAAAATAACAAGCGCTGAAAGCAGCCTGAACTATGTCATTAGTGAATGCGGGGAGTCTGCTTTAAATGAGGCAACACTGGATCAGAACCTGAAACGTTACCCCAAAGCCAGGTGATAAAAGATACCTGACTCTTCTTGCAGTTAAAAATGCACAGCAGGTATTCTGTACATTTGTCCTGGTTTTACACATCAGCTGACACAGTTCAGAAAGAGTAAAAGAGGAAGGCCATCTGATCAAATGGAATAAACTGTTTATAAACTGCATGTTAGCAATTTCTACAAATAGGAATAGCTTTTATAAAGCAATAAAGACACAAATGCAATGTTCTTTTTAGGGAGAGAACTAGATATGTATGCTTGAAATACATTTTTTGTAAAATTACTCAAATCTTTAATGCCACTTTTGATTCATTTAGTGCATTTTAGTGCACTGAACAAATTAATTTCTTTAAAAAAAAAAAAAAAAATCGTACTGACCCAAAACTTTTTAAACGTTATTGTATTTCATCAGAATACATAATACACTGACACATAATATACAGATATTTTTGAATGGCCGTCAATTGAGAAAGATGCTCATTGCATCCAGTATATTTATGGCATCTACCAGCAGGAGCTTTACAAAGGTGATGTGTTGTATCTGTTTGTGAACAGTCCTCGGTAGACATATTAAAGTGCTGCCATCTTTTCCTGCTGTGTTTCTGTGTTACTATCATACTCAGTATGAGGGACGCTTCCAGACAGTACCAAAATACAGAATCGTTTTCACTGACACAAACAAATTGAAACCTCCTCCAACCATGGTTTTGCGAGTTTGTTAAAGCCTGTTAATTGTTATATTGGAGTGTGTGTCATTTGCGAGGCTTGCAATTAGAGTACATGGCTTTGTTGGATGTCCCAGCAGTAAAGCTGCACTGACAAAATGACGTCCCCAATGGCTGCCTGGTGCCTATCAGCATTTGAGTTTAAATCACTGACAGATAAATAACAGGAGCCACTGATAAGTGGGCAGAAAGAGACGCACACACAACACTCACACAAAATACAAGCACAGTGATTCCCCTAAGACAAAATAACCCAGACAGACACATTCTCCTACAGGCACATTTATCAAGGAAAAAAATTAGCCAACAAAAAAGACTGCTGGGGGCAAGAGCATCAGACACAACTAGAGACATCATCACAGGTGAAACAAAGACTTTAAAGACTTACACATCCATCGTGCACACTGAGAACGGCTTCGAGCTTCAGTCGTTGCACAAACTCTCTTCTGCCTATAGAGGAAAAAAAAAATGTATGAATTTTATTGTGGCAATTTTCATGTCCAAGATCATTTGCATTGTCTGTTAATTCACACAAGAGAATAACAACAAGGACATATATTTTACCTGTCCCACATTCAATACACATTTAATTCAGCCATTTACTGTAAAGCTGTCGTTTCTGTGCCACTAGCATCATCAAACATAACTGCACAACTGACTGTTTCCAAACAGGTTTCTCCCCATCTTCTACCATTATTCACCAGTAAAATTAAGAAATTAATACTTTATTCAGCAAGGACATTTAGAAGTGACAGTAAATACTTTTATAATAAAAAATATATATTTCAAATAAATGTTGTACAAATCCTGAAAAAAAGTACCATGGCTTCCACATAAATATTAAGCAGCACAACTGTTTTCAATAATGATAAAAATAAAAATGGCTTCTTGATCATTGATAATGAATGATGATGTGACACTGAAGACTGGAGTAATGATGGTGAAAATTCAGCTTTGCCATCACAGGAATAAATTACATTTTAAAATATATTAAAATATGCATTTATGTATTTATGTATTTAATCAAATAAATGCAGGCTTGGTGGGCATAAGAGACTTCTTTCAAAAACATTCAAAATCTTACCAACCCCAAACTTTTGAACATAGGTTGATCCAATGCTGAAATATCAGGCCACTCAAACAAACAACATCAATGTGTTGATGCTGCCACTATCTTTACAGTTTGGTTGGAAATCAACCAACATTGCCAAAATTATACCTTTCAGTTTAAACAAGATCAGCATATGTCGCATTCACTCTTAAAGGAACACTCCACTATTTTTGAAAATAGGCTCATTTTTCAACTCCCCTAGAGTTAAACAGTTGAGTTTTACCATTTTCTAATCCATTCAGCCGATCTCCGGGTCTGGCGGTAGCACTTTTAGCTGTAGCTTAGCATAGATCATTGAATCTGATTAGACCGTTAGCATCTTTGGTTAGCACCAAAGAGTTTCTATATTTTTCCTATTTAAAACTTGACTCTTCTGTAGTTACATCGTGTACTAAGACCGACGGAAAATGAAAAGTTGCTATTTTCTAGGCCGATATGGCTAGGAACTATACTCTCATTCCGGCGTAATAATCAAGGAACTTTGCTGCAGTACCATGGGTGCAGCAGGCGCAATGATATTACGCAGCGCCTGAAAATAGTCCCCAGCACACTCCCTGTGCAAGCAGGTGGTCACGTTGGTTATGTTGACAGAAGTTAGCCTATTTTCAGGTGCTGCCTAATATAATTGTGCCTGCTGCACCCATGGTATGGCAGCAAAGTTCCTTGATTATTACGCCGGAATGAGAGTATAGTTCCTAGCCATATCGGCCTAGAAAATAGCAACTTTTCATTTTCCGTCGGTCTTAGTACACGATGTAACTACAGAAGAGTCAAGTTTTAAATAGGAAAAATATAGAAACTCTATGGTCATTTTTGAGCGAGATGCTAACGGTCTAATCAGATTCAATGATCTATGCTAAGCTACAGCTAAAAGTGCTACCGCCAGACCCGGAGATCGGCTGAATGGATTCGAAAACGGTAAAACTCAACTGTTTAACTCTAGGGGAGTTGGAAAATGAGCCTATTTTCAAAAATAGTGGAGTGTTCCTTTAAACTGAGATTAGCTGTACAGTACAATCAGAGACAGTTTATTTTAAGTTTATATGAATAACAGGCACAATAATCTAAACCGGAAAGCTCATTTATGGTGTAAATCTAAACTGAAGCATCCATGAAACTATATTATGTGGGTGAGGAGGCTGGAATGATTGTTAATGACTGCTGAAATCTTCATTGCTTTGGAGAAACGCCAGAACACTATTACATTACCTCCAGCATTTGCTGAGCTGCTGTACAAAGACAGAAAACATCCTGTCATACGCTGTTGTAGTAATGTCAACCACCCTGATTTGGTTCTTGTTTTGTTTTTGTTTGTCTAATCTCTTATAAAAATACCTCAGATTTATTTGACATGCAAACACTGTGGTTTAGGCCCAAATATGGGTGCTGTACAACAACTATACCTACTCACATTCAACACTGTTTGCATTAAGAAACATGTATAACATTTACGTTTCTGTTCCTGACAGGCGGGATATCTGTGTGTGGCTGGTAAAAGACAGATCTTTCCATGGCTGTATTTTCAGCCTGTGTAATAAGGAGCTACAAATAGCAAGTGCCAAACTTAGGTCAACCATTTTCAATGGTGTGAGCCCGGAGAACAGCAGTAGCCTGAGATGACACTGCTCTATGCATTGATGGTACAACCTCACAGAAAATGGTCTGCCAACAGAAAGCAAAATTTAAAATTCATGCAAAAGCAATGTAGGTTAAATTCCACTCTCAATCCATTCACAAATGCATAAAACAGAGATACTCTGTGTTGTTGTTTTGGCTGCTCTGTTTCTAACCGTAAGCATTGGCAGGCTTTATAACATGAATGAGAGCCGAGCTAAATACGGAACACTCTGAACGATATGCTGTCATCACTATCTGAATGTGAGATCCAGAGTAAAACAGCTCACAGACACCAAAGACTGAACATATTGGCACACTCCATTAATCACATAGAATCCAGCATCCAATTCTTAGGGTACAGAGAAGAAATTAGCTAAACTTGTATTGTCTAAAATACATATTTGGGTCAGACTAGGTGGATTTTATTACATAAGTGTGCTTTGAAGTCCGCCAAGACAGAATTTTATTTTATTTTATTTTGTGTGTGTGTGAACTATGAACTTTTTTGGAAACATTTTACAATCCTAATATGGTAATACTAAGGGTCTCTATCAAAAAATAAATATGAGCTAAACGATATATTTAATTATTTTTTAATTATTTCTTTAATCAGAGACAATACACATTAATAATACATAAAAATCTACGTTAAATGTGCCAGATTTAGCCAGGTGGCTAATTTTCATTTCCTTTACGGCAATAAATCAAAGATTTCCGCAAACCATATTAATCTGTACTTAATACTGAAAATCATTCCAGAAACACAACATGTTTTGTGTCAGAAATCAAGAGCTAGTGCTGTTTGTCAATACAAGAACCTTGAACAGGTCAGATGATCTTTAACCAGTGTCCCTGTCCTGTGTACAAGCTCAAATGACAGCTGTCAACTATAAAGTCTTCGTAAACAAGTCTCCCAGATGATTTTCATTCAGATGATGGTTGAAGTGCAACGGTGTGATATCGGTCGTAGTTTCTTACCTAAATAATTTGTCCTGACCGCATATGGATCTGTGCATCCAATAGTGCGTTTTCGCACATCCCAAATGAGGTTGCCAGAGCAGGACATGGTGTTTAAACCTCTGATGTTGAGACATGCATGGATGAAAAAGGGTAGAGCAGACGCTTTTCTTGTGTTTGTGTTCCTTCCGTGCCGTTTGATTATTATTGTTTCCTTTTACAGCGCCTAATAGTCGCTATACGTTCATCGACAACTGACACTGGACGAATGAGAGAATATTACTCTTCAAAATCGACAACACCGCGGCGATCCGTTTCCGACACTTTGTGCATGGCTGCTTTGAGGTGTAGCAAAATATTGTGCTTCTTGTTTGGCTATCCGCTTTAGCCTCTGCTGCTCTGGTACGTCAAATCCATCTCGAGCCCAAAGCCAATGGAAGGGAATGGGCGGGTCGCTCTGGAGTCTGGAGAGCGTCAAATGTGCGTAGAAGTTACGCCGAATCGAGGATCCCTGACTGCATTCAAATCTCAACACTATTTTTTTGTTTCAAGTATGTGTAACAGTAGTTTAAATCTTTTAGTTGAGAAGATTTGGTAACTGACGTGCGGATGAAAACCACCCATGGTAATGTCTTTATTTAAAAAATGGAAACTGGTGATTGGTTCCTACTTAAAAGCGATGAGAAAAGTAACATGTCCCATTGTCCCATTTATTTTCTTTAAAAAATACAGGAATTAAAACAGGGAATTAAAAGATTTTAGGGATTTAAAAACACAAGAACAACTATATCAGCAGCAGTCTGGACGACAGTAATGACACTCATTAAAAAAAATTGTCATTCAATGTAAATATAGTTTTAAAATATGTCGTCCTATTTGACAAGAATAAAGTGTACAACTAATGTTGACAAAACACGTCTTGCAAATATAAACGCAATGCAGTGTATTTAAATAACACACTGCATTGTATTAAACAAATCAACCAATTGATCAATAAATGTTTGTTCTGAACACTGTGAAGGACGATTTTTTTTTGTTAAGAAATTAATGGAAACTTTTAACTTTCACGCCCAGCATTCCACAATAATAATCTCTACACATAACCGCGAAAACAGCTTATTTTCTCAACGCGACCTGACCAGGCCCCGCCTTTCAACCGCGTGCGAACCCCTTCCAGCCAATCACACAAAGAGGCGTGACCACATTAACCAATCCTTCACCTTAGAGGCTCAACTACGTCATGACGCAATTGACTGACACTTCACATGACAACATAGCAGTAAACTGCATTAGCAAGGTCGACAGTAGGACAATAACGTAGACTTTGTACTTTATGCGTGTCCAAAGGTCTTATTTTCCAAGAGCCTTTTGGAAACATCACGGGACAATAGCAGCAGAGTGCTTTGCATGTCCTAAGCGGTATTTTCGTGCGTGCAGTACTGCAGTGTTAGCATTTAGCTTGATTAGCAGTCATCATGGCTTTGGTGGGGCTGCGGGCTTCTTACCACAGAATCCTCGACAGGATCGAGCATATGCTGCCGGCTAAACTGAGACCCGTTTATAACCACCCTGCAGGTAACGCAAATGCTGTTAGCGTGACAGCTCATTTGTGACTGATACTGATCCTTGAGGTGGCAGCATGCCCTGAAGTGTTGCATATGACGGTGCAGCCATAGAGCCTGCTACCTGAGCAGGTGTTTTTGTCTCATTGTTTAAGGTCAAAAACAGTGACTCCAATGCTTTAAAATAAAGGTAATAATGAACTTGGTACACGAAAAGATCAGAATTAGTCTCCTTAGATGCATAGCCTAGAATGTAATTGAGGTTTAAGATATAGAAAATGTTTTAAGAAGGTGCAACTATATGGTAATGAATTATAGCCACTGTATGATATGTAGAAATGTATTACAATTATTATTATAATTTTTTATTTATTTATAATTTATTTATTTTGATTCTGAATTGTTGTCTGCAGTTCTGGTCTTGCCGTACTTGCTTTTATGAGTGTTTTTGGCACTTTCAATGATTTTGAGTACAAAATGGGGCTTAAAATTCTTTTTTTTTTACGTATTTATACATAAGTGAGGAATAACACTGTCTTTTCATTTTAAACAATTGGTCAGTGAAACGATGTCTAAACTTGTGTTTAACTAAATATGTTTAAATTAATTATATGTGTTTTCAAATTTTGGGGCATGACTAAATGCTGTTAAAAGTCTTGATTTATGTGATTGTAATTTTCCAACTAGTATTACTAAGTGTTAGTATTATTTATGATTTTGGATGGATTATTGAAACAGTAATCCATTGTTCGTGTAAAATTTAAATTGCACATGTAATGAAAGAGATACTACAAAAATAAAAAAGAAAAACAATGTTATGGGTCACCAAAGTGTACTGTATTTGTGGAAAGTGCCCTTGAGAAACAGAAATCATTCTCGGTAATATTGTCTGTTACTGAATAATGAGTTTTCTTAAGGGAGTCAATGTGTTTATAGTTCTAGTCATTGGTGGTAGAATAAATAGAGATCAAATTACATGTGTGTTGATAAGCAGAGGTTGACTGACAAGAAACTAAAAAAAGATTAAACGAACAGTGCTGGCATGCAGATTTTGACCTCAGCTTTGGCAGAGGGAGGGGGTCATATTTAGCGCTAGGGATGACTGATCTTTTATTAAATTACCGGTATATTAAAATTGATTTTTAACATGCTGATTGTTTTTTAGATGTTCTAAAACAAGTCTGTTGCATTATGTTGATCACTGATAGCTCAAACCCCATGAAGCTGATCAGTGCATTTAGTCTTATTGAATATTTAAACATTGACAGTTTACAGATAATAAACCATAATTGGTTAAACATTTATACCATCAGCCATTGTATATTGTAGTTCTTATTGAAAATTAATTTAAGTCTGAGCTTCAGCATGGTGTGGTGCACATACCCACAACCATCAGGTCACAGTGACACAGGTTCAAGTCTGTGTCCTTTAGTGCTGTAAAAATAAAAACCTTGGGAAGATATACATATTTGGTACCAAAACACAACCACAAAGTGTACTTGCAAGAACAAGTATTTAGTGTAAAGTGTATTTTTTTTTAATCCCCTAATAATTCTCTTCTGTGTTAGTGCTTTAGGTTTTGTAAGTTGAATCACCCGATACCTGTCACAATTACACACATTTGACCTGTGAAACATGAGTTTAACTGTATTGATTTGCTTTTTGTTTAGGTCCAAAGACTGTTTTCTTCTGGGCACCAATGTTTAAATGGGTAAGATCAACAACACAGTATCTAGATGTTCTTTGGATTGATTGATATTTATTTATTTATATATAAAAAGTTTAATTTCTGATTTCTCACAGGGTCTGGTCATAGCTGGCTTAGCAGACATGACACGTCCAGCAGATAAACTCAGTACCTCCCAATCTGCTGTGTTGACTGCCACAGGTATATATCACACAGTAACCCAAAAAAATTAAATAAAACTGAACAATTCAAAGATCCCAATCTCCCTCACTCTGTTTTTCAGGACTTATTTGGTCCAGGTATTCTTTGGTTATTATACCCAAGAACTGGAATCTCTTTGCTGTAAACTTCTTTGTTGGAGGTGCAGGAGGATCACAGCTCTTCAGAATATGGAAGTGAGTACTCTCATTCACCTACAGAATACATGCTATAAAATCACTTAAATGGGGAAATAAGCAAAAGGTGAATGTTCTTGATTTGAGACTTTTGTCCAGTTTCCAAACAAACCTTGAACTGACGCAAACAGTCTGGCAGTGAAGTGCATCATGTCTTGTTTAAAAGCCATCTGATATCACGTCATTCACAACAGCTATGTGTAATTCATCTCTGGATTAGTCGATGACTGTGACAAAAAAGTAAAACTTAGTCAGCATTAAATTATTTTTCAATAGGATTTTTTTTGTTTATTATAAATGATATTTGTGCACATCATTATTATATATTTTTTTTTATTCACATGCCCTTGTAATCTTCAATGAAAATAACCTCTCTTCCCCCTTGCACCATCACCTCTTCTCTTCTCTGACGACATGTTCACTGTTGCGAGGGCAGGACAATAACCTCTCCCCTCCAGCAATCTGTCACTCACATGAAATCGCAGCAATAGCAAATGACAATGATCCAATCAATTCCTGCTGGACCAAATTAAATCCTGCCTTACAAATTTTTTTCCTTGTTCAGGAAGCCGTTCTGCTTGGATATACATCACAATAGGATAGAAAAGATGAACTTAACTTCCATTTCATGTCAAGTAGGACACCGGGGCGTCAGCTATGTAGATGTATATAATAAAAGATCTTATAAGGAATCAACTGCATAGTCTAATTCAAGGATGGGCAACTTTGATAGTGATGAGGGCCAGTACGTTTTCTCCTTTATACCAAGGCGCTAGATTACTAATACACGTCCACACACCTTTTACACTGTCTTACTCAATTTCCTTTTTATTGAAGGAAATCAAAGTATAAATAGTCATTTGTTTTTACAAATTTACGGTACGTCAAATACAGGTACACTGCGCATCCATCGAGATTAATTGAAAAATAGCACAGATCGCTTGACGGAGAGCGAAACTCTGAAACGCTCAGTCAGAGTGTTCGGCGAGTGTAAATATATCTAGGCTAAACTTATACTTAGCCTCCAACTCACACACTGGCGAGTAAAATCTGAGAATTTATTAGCCATTGGCTAATATTAGTCATCATTTAGTCGCCAGAGTGAAGATTTAGTCGCATATGCGAGTGATTTACTCGCAATGTAGAGGGTTGTAAAACTAGAAATTGTGTAAGCATGCAAAGAAATTCCCAAACAATAGTTTCTCGAGGGCACAAAAAAGTTTCTTGTGTGCATGCAAAAGTCTGTATTCTTTTTTTTTATTATTATTAATTTTAGGGGCTCTGTATGTTGTCACTTTGAGAAAATCAATGAAAAAAACAATGAGAAAATACAAATATTTACAGTTGACTGTACTATATACCAATTATAAAGCTGAAAATTATGCTGTATGAATCATTTGTTAAATATGGTCTGAAAATCTATCGAGAGGTTTGAAATTTGATTATATATATGAGTTCTTTATTCCCCACAGGTATAACCGGGAACAGAAGGCAAAGGAGAAAGAAGCTCAGGCTTGATACCAGTGCTGTGTAAAGTGCTTCCAGAGGACAGAAAGGGACTCTCCTCAACTGGTACCCCAGAAACTTCCCCTCCATCATCAGTCTCCACAGAGATCATCTGATTCTTTTAGAGTTCAGGTCATTGTCCTGTGCAACTAGTACCTATAGCAACAATTATTACGGTTGTTAATAACGCACAAATGTTACATATTCATTAGGGGTGGAATGATTCGCGGAAAAAAATCGAGAGAAAAAAATTGAGAAAAAAAAGCGTTAGGACCGCGGTTCAACTTAAATCTGACAACGCATCTGTAATATGGTTTGCTATAAATAACACGTAAAACAAATAGGGTTCGGCTAATATATGTTTCTGTTGATGGATGCGCATTCTGGCTTCCCAATACATTACAACAACAGCGATGGAAAAAAAAAAACGTGGACAAACCATTCACTCTTGTTCAATGCGAATGCCGTATGCTGGAATATGAGCATTTATTCCGTCATCACCCGGGTGCTGATAGCGCGTGCGCACAGGTGAGACCTGAACAGAACACGTTGATATCTATGTTTAAGCTAAACTCGTTTAAGCCTTAACAGTTTAAACCATAGACTGTAAAAAAAGATGGACAATGCGTCTCCTATTCCTTCCACTATATAAAAGTGAAGCCAAAGCATCTCAGTATGGCCGCTGCCATCTTTAGTAAATGACGTCATTTGGAGCAAAGTCTGCGCAGTAGAGATTTGTTTGGAGCCAGAGTCTGCGCAGTAGTGTCGTGAGGTGGAGCCGCGGTATCAAACTCCCGCCCAAACTCCCGAAGACCCAATCAACCATAACAACACGCCCCATTTTTATAGCATCACATTACTAGCTAAAGTCAAACTTATCACAAAAACGAACAGTTGAACTTTATTTTGTCTCAACTCCCATTCGTTTACATTGAGAGGGCGGGGTTTATGACCTGTACTGCAGCCAGCCACCAAGGGGCGATCAAAGAGCCTGCAGCTTCACTTTTCAGGACCTGTGAGGCACACCCGGTTTAAAGGGGTCATATGATGCTTTTTTAAAAACAGCAACAACAAAGAAATCACTCACTGCTCTTGATTTAATAGCTTTTGTAACTTTAATAAAGATTAATCTTTAATTTATACAGTCAAATATGCAATGCTGTTTTACATTTCATTACTTTATTCAATTTCTGATCACAGTGAAAATCACTGTTTATTTTATTTGTATCTTTACTCTATTGTATTTATTTGTGCTGTTTCTTGTAGTATTGACAGTATAGTTTTTGCCTAAACATAGCACATACCGAACCATACCGAAACCGTGACACAAACCGAACCATGAGTAAGTTGAACCGTTCCACCCCTAATATTCATATTACTATGATTGTACATTCTTTAAAAGGCTTGTGTTTCAAATGCATCTTGATAAAGGAGCTTTCCATCCAATATACTTGATTTACCCTCATAATTCTTACCATTGAGTGAATTTCTTCACTCAGCCTCACATCATACTGTTAACAGAATGTGTCCAAATAAATTCTAAGAAGGTCTCTTTCACTATATGTATTACTTACATAATACTTATTAAACATCTGTAATACATTTTTTTTTTTTACACATCCGTAACATTAAATAATTTTAGTCAAAATCCATACTTTACAAAATATGGACTAACCCAACTGTTGGGTTAAAAAGTTAATTTAAAAATGTAACCAAAATTTAACCCAACAGTTGGGTTAGTCCATATTTGACCCAACATTGGCTTGAAACAACCCAGCATTTTTTAGAGTGTAGTAAGAGCTTGATTAGCTGGTTCAGGTGTGTTTGATTAGGGTTGGAGCTAAACTCTGCAGGACACCGGCCCTCCAGGACCGAGTTTGGGCACCCCTGCTTTACAACATACTGAACTGAACTGTACTGTAATATTGGAAATTTTTGATTAACATCAAAATAAAGTAACATTACAATAAAATGTACTAAAAGTGTGTTGCCCTTATAATCAGGTGTACTGTTAAATGTTCATGTGCATTCATCTGCCTAGTTATTCACCTTTATCCTGCATTATAAATAAATTGCATACTTTAACGTTACTTATTATTTGAAACAGTTAAGGAGTATCATACTACCATATTACTCATACAATTTCTACTATGTTTATTCTGCACATAGTAAGGATTTTTTTGTAACAGAATGTGCAGTGTACAACCCGAGCACATGTATCCCACAATGCAGTGCACACAACCTGACCTATTTCCAGTGAGACATTGAAGCTTATCAGTGGTGATTTTTAACACCTCATTATTTTTGACTCGTTATCAGACAGCTATTTTTTATAATAAACCATTTTCTACATGACAACTAAACATCATACTTAAATTATGTATGAGGTTACATTTGACAATGTAACATAGTACTGTTTGAAATGTTTACTGTTGTAGTCTACTTGATGTTTCAAATATTATTTATTATCTAAAAATAGTATATACTAAGCAGTGTACTACTTTCCTCCTTAGCCTATGTGTTTTTGTGACAGTACACTGCTGGCCCTATGTGGTGCTACAAGAAACTGCATTCAGTAGAATGAGAATAGAAATACAGATGGTGTGATCTACATAGAAAAGTTTCTGGGAACCATTTTGGCCCTGAAAGATGCTTCATCCACATGGTAAAACAATGCCTCGCCTACAGGTTGTTTACACATTTAACATTGGTTAGAAAAATGATTGACTATATTTCTCGTTGGTTTGAATGCCTATGGTCACCATAAATAATAAGCAGCCCCCTACAAGACTGTAATAAAATAATTATACAACATTACACATTATGTACACAAGAGACTGTGATGTCTGGGTTGACACCAAGTCTGAAGGTCTCATGTGGAGATGTAGGATGATATATTTTTTTGAGTGAGAACCATAATGACTAATTATGTGAATGCAATGTCCAAACTTAACAAAACATGGAACACATGCATAACAACAAGATAGTCTGAAGAAACATGACGAATTTCTGATGCTCATGACATGTTGATCTGATCTTTTCAGCAAAGTTATGCAAGTAAAAAACTGAAACCTCACATCCATCCTTGCGAGTCCCTTAGCACACAAGGCCAAATCATCCTTCACCCAGCTTGTGGCTTATTTTATAACACCTGCGAATGTCACCTATTAAAAGATAAACAATTGTCGTTAGTATGAAGTAGAGTTTTATATATTTTATAATTAATAACATTTTCAATTTCTCATAATTTATTATTATTACCTTTTTCCAGATTGTCCTGCTCTAAAAAAAATCAGTAAAAAAGTTCAGTTTTGGGTTTTGTTTGTTTATTTTGACTTTTGCCCCTTTTTTTATTTATTAATCTTTCATTATGAATTTTTATTATTTTAATATGATATTGTATCCATGTGTTCAGGAATACTCCGTTTTTATTTAGAAACGCATTTACATATATTTAAAAAATCTTATACCTTCTACAATAATTTGATCTTTGATGTCATAATTTTCTTGTCTGACTGGAACTTATTGCATCAAAAAAAATTGTTACATTCTGTGTTTATTTATACAATATTGTTGGTTGCTACGTACTGCTGTGTGCTCTTTCTCTGTCTCTCCATGTGTTACGGCTGCTCAACCAGGTGCGGAGGAGAGGAAGGTGATCACTCGCACCTGCCGCTCGTTACTGTGCAGAGGCTGTTAGCTCAAAAGCTGTTCAACATGCTTTGTAGTCTATGTAGTCTGTACCTCTCGTCTGTCTTGTGTTGCTCTTGTAGTTTTGTCAGAGATTGATACTGTGTAAAACTTACTCGGGTTATGGCTTGTTGTATCCTTCCGAAAGGTAATTAGCGTTGTTGTTGCGCTACATGTCTCTCTGTGTTGGAAGCCGTAGGGAGGTGAGTGCTATTTTATTTGTGAATCTTTTTCTCTTGTTTTTGCTTAGTTAGGGAGTTAGCGTACATTTCTGTTGTTAATTTTCGTTTGTTTTGTCAGTTTAGACCGTTTTACTCCTTAACTAGTTAGAGGGTCCTTTTGTTTGTTTTGGCCTTTCCCCTTCCTGATGTCTATTTTGCTTCCTATTTTACTTCGTCATTTGGAAATTTTGTAAATGCAATACTTGATTTTGGAACTTAACGTGTCTGTTGTGCTGGACGGGACTGGTACTCACTCACCCCAACCAAATTTATGTTTACTTTTCTCTGTTACCCCCTTACATCTGGGATGTAACTAAATTATTTACCAATCAGCAGTGTCAGAGATCTTACAAAAGATGTTTAGACAAAAGCACAATGGATGCTTAAGAGTTCATTTATTTTGGTGAGTCATGAACACTGGACAGATAAAGAAATTTAAGAACTTCCTTTTGCCACTGCGCACAAATAAAATATAAATGCTACAGAAACCCTTGTACAGAGACCCAATTTTACAGCTGTAAATCACATAAAAATGAAATGGAACAAATTAATTCAAAAACAGGTAGCGTTAAATTCATGTTAAGGCACATGAACTGATCGCAAACAACTCTTCCAAAAAAAATCTGAACAACCATTTTTGGAGTGAATTTTTACATTGCATTTGGATACATAAAATAGAACAGACAGTATAACTACTGTATACATTTTCAGATCTTCCAGAGATAAATGCAGAATGGGAGACATTATATTAAAGGGGTCATAGGAGGCGATTTCAATTTTTCCTTTCTCTTTGGAGTGTTACAAGCTCTTGGTACATAAAGAAAATCTGTAAAGTTGCAAAGACTAAAGTCTCAAATCCAAAGAGATATTCTTTATAAAAGTTCAGAGTCAGCCACACCTACCTAAAACGGCTCGTTCTAACACACCCCCACATATCTACCTCACTATGTGGGAAGATTTGCATAACGCTGCCCAAATGTTCACGCAAAGAAAGAAGGCGTAACTTTTAGTCTCACTGTAGTTTTGTTGATGCTGCAGCCATGTCGTGAAGACGCTGTGTGTTTCGTTGTGAAAGCGGAACTACTTTGTTTGGTCTTTCAAAAGAGGACGATATCCGCTTCGTCATGCCTAGAGCTGATCTGTGCTGGTTGCTGAGGGAATACATCAACTTTCACCGTGGACGAAACGGAATCCAGCCTGGGGTCCGTCACACGTGGTTGCCGTTCATTCGTCGGATCCGCCGGGCGCGCGGTTCTCGACCCTGCCGCCTCAGCTCACTCTAGCCCGGCCGCTTTTTCAGACCGATGAGCTTTGTAAAAATCGCCGCGTTTCAAAAAGGCGGGGCTTAGAGGAGAAACAATATTGTACAGTATGTGGAA